TATACTATTCATTCAGTTCAAACTTATTTGAAATAGTTTAAATCCAAGTACATTGAAATATTTGTTTTTATTTGGTTTCCAGACTCTTGAATTTTCCTTTTACCCCCTCTTTCTTAGGAAGAGAACTGTAAAGCCATTAGCAAATTCTAAATGCTGTTGATGAAGAGTTGGGCTTTCTGTCATATAATAAGAGATGTGAGGTATCTGTTTATGGTTGGAGTAGGACCAGAAATTCACTCTTCTGAGTGTTTAAGCCTGGTTGCTATAGTGTGGAACAGAAACAAGTAGTCTTCTGAATCTCCGTAGTAATGATTAAAGTTTCTCTCAGGAAGCCTTTCATACTATAAGTGCTCATTATCTTTCTCATAGCATCATTATTTTCCTTTTTGTAGAGTGAAAATTGAAGTAGCTACTAAATATATTAAGAGTAATCTTCCAGGAATGGACTGGGAGACATTTTAGTCACAACAACTTACATTTGGTTTGGAAGTTGTTAACAAAACATAATTGATGTTTTTAAATCAGACTCAACTGCATATAACTACAATTTGTATCTTGATACTTATGGTTTAGCATTTGAATAAAACAAAAGGACTAAATGCTAGTGTGATGGTCTGTCCATAACGCAGTGCCATTTTTAAAAGGACACAGATATTGTGAGATGCTTTATTCTAATGTTTGGTTACTCCTCGGCACTTTCATATCCTGCTAATAAATTCTCCTGGTTATAAATAACATAGACAATAATTCCGTTATTAAAGTTTATGTTAAATATTTATTGAAAATCCTTACTTAAATATTCTGAGTGGGCCTCACACTAGGGACACAGACTAAGCTTTTCAAGAAGCTTACTAGTCTAGCAGGGGAAGCAAACACAAACATCGGTGCATTATAATGGAAGTGAGGTAACCAGGTGTGGTGGCACAGAAGGTGGTGGCCTAGATGTACCTGGAAGAACAAGTAGGACTTTTCCTGAAAGGAATAGTGAAAATAACAAATTTGAAACAACTAGGGAGCTTTGGGAGTTGAGAAATAGGGAACAAGTGTGGCTTCACATTACTGCTCTGAGATGATCATTTAATATATTTCCCCTCTCCATTCAACTGAAGACTTTGCCTCACATTTTATTGAGAAACCATCAGAAGATCAAAGTCACCTTCCCATCATCAAATCTATAAATCTACCTGCTTTAGCACCCAACCTTTTTTTCCCCTGTTAAAACTGAAGAATCCCTCTTACCAAAACTCAACATCATTATAAGGGGATCTTATCATTTCTCATTTCTCAAGAGCTTTATTTCTTTTGTCGGTGTCTCTACTACATTGTCTCCTTCTGAATCATTCCCAGCAGCATCTAGACACTGCCTAGTATTTCCTGTCCTAGAGCAAACCTCCCAAGTTTATTTTTCACTTGTTTGCCTTTCCTGCTACACATGGTGAAGATCAATGCCTGTTTTGTTAACTATAATAGCACCTATCTACTTCCTATATTTATTTGGTGCTCCATACATTTGAAAACAAATAATAGAGTATCTTATATACTAGGTTAACTTGTAATTTTATGCCAAATGTAGTGGGGCATTAAAAGGGTTTTGAGTAAAAAAGTTGGGCATCATTAGGTGTGTTTTTGGATTGTTGGGAAAAGGAGGCTCTGAGGAGAATGGAGAGAAACATTAGAGGCCTATCCTGGACATTTCTTCTGCTCTCCCCTTCCTGTCTCCTGCCTCATCACACTTTCTGTTTTTCAGATCAGTTATCAACAGTGTACAAACAACTCCCTTGAACTCAAATCTTCTCCAACAGTAAACTAAAAGTTGGCTTTGCTGTTTCTAATTCCTTTTCAGGCTTTGATTCAAAGTGAGATGAGAAGTTACTGGAAGGTTTTGCACAGAGAAATGGCATAATTTGACTTAAGTTTTGAAAGACCATTTCTGGTTACAATGTAAGTGAACAGACTATAAAGGAGCAAGGACTGAATCAGGGCCATGTGGGGCTGTTATAATAAGCCTCCCAGGCAACGATGATGGATTGGACTAAGGTGGTAGCAGTGGGAAGTGGAAGAATGGATAGGTAGCTCTTTTTGAAAATCTTATGAAATGTGGTATTCCATGTTCTTCAATGGGGAAACTCAGTATTATAAAGATGTCTGTCATTCCTACATTAATTTATATATTTAATGTTCCAATGAAATACCAATAAGGTTTTAAATTGAAATTGACAAGGAGACTCCAATTCATATGGAAGAGTAGGCAATAATGGTAAACAAGCAAAGATAATGTGCACTCAGGTAGTGCTTACTCTGTGTTCATTTAATGCAACAATGTAGGTAGATTCTATTAACCCTCTTGTAGATGAAACTGAAGCCCAGTGGTTAAGTAGCTCTCCCCAGGTCACATAAGTAGTAACAGGATTTAACTCCAGGTAGATTGGTTTGAGAGCCTCTCTGCTTAACCAACACACTGAAAGAAGAATGAGGAGGTACTACCTCTTCTATTAAAAAAAAATTATATATATATATATATATATATATAGCTTTACAAATTTAAGTGTGTACCAGTGTGTGAGTGAACAGAGACCAAAGGGAAAGCATGTAAAGTCTAGAAATAGATCCCAAATATACATGGCAGATCAATATTAGAAATGGTGGTATTTCAAATCAGGAAAAGAACATTCAATAAATGGTAATGACAACCCATCTAGAAAATACAGCTATGCCTTACCAAATAAATTTTAAGATCTTAAATGTTATGTAGAGTATTATGTAATTACTTAATACATAAGATACAAGTAAACATTATGTAGAGTATTACAAAGTTTCTGAGAAATATGAAAGGTCTCTGGGGAAGTGGGGTCAGGCTCTGCTTGGTTCTTTTTACAGTACAGAGCTGGGCTATTCCACAAGAAGGTGTCCATTACCTTTGCTTTAAAAAGTAAAGATCTAATTATATGATGCTAAAGCAAGTGGACATCAAAGTGAGGTGGGGGAAGAACCTTGGCCTAAGTCTCACACATTATACAAATAATTAACTCCAAATGAATCACAGACCTAAATGTAAACCTATAAAACTTCTAGGAAAAGTACAAGAGAAGACTTTAAGGATCTAGAACTTACGTAAAGAGTTCTTAAACTTGATTCCAAAAGCATGATCCAAAAAAGGAAAAAAAAAAACAAAGCCCTGCTAAGTTGGACTTCATCAAAATTAAGAACTTTTGCTCCACAAAAGAAAAAAACCCTGTTAAAAGGATGAAAAGACAAGCTATAAACTGGGAGAAAATATTTGCAAAGCATGTATTAGATAAAGGGCTAGTATCTAGAATATATAAAAAGAGCTCTCTAATCTCAATAAAGTTAGAAAAATGAGCAAAAGAAATGATCAGACATTTCAATGAAAAGGATGTACAGATGGCAAATAAGCATATGAAAAGATGTTCAACATAATTAGTCATTAAGGAAATGCAAATTAAAACCCCAAGATCACTACAAACCTATCAGGATGTCTAAAAAAATAGTAACATCCCAAATGCGAGAAAGCAGAGAAACTGGATCCCTCCTATTGCTGGTGGTAATGTAAACTAGTACAGCCTCTCTGGAAAAAAATCTGGCAGTTCCTTTAAAAATTAAATATGCGACTGTCATATGACCAAGCAATTGCACTCATGGGCATTCATGGGCATTTATGTTCAAAGAAAATCCTCTATACAAACGCTTATAGCAGCTTTATTCATGATAGCCCCCAAAGTGAAAGCACCCTTCAACAAGTGACTGATTGTTAAACAAAATGTCGTTTAACTTCACCCACACTTTTTTTTTGCACACTTTTATTGCAATAAAAAGGAATGCTATTAATACAACAACCTGGGTGAATCTCCAGAGGATTACACTGAGTGAAACCTGGAGTCCCGAAAGGTTATGATTCCATTTATATAACATTCTTGAAAGGACAGAAATTACAGAAGTGAGTGTGGCACCCTGGCTGGTGTGGCTCAGTGGCTTGAGTGCCCGCCTGGGAACCAAAGGGTCGTTGGTTTGATTCTCAATCAGGACACATGCCTGGGTGTGGGCCAGGTCCCCAGAAGGAGGTGCTTGAGAAGCAACCACAAGTTGATATTTCTCTCCCGCCCTTCCTTTCCCTCTCTCTAAAAATAAATAAAATCTTTTTAAAAAGAGAGAGAAGTGGGTGTCGCTATAAAAGGGCAAATGAGGGATCCTGAAAGTGATGGAGATGAATATTCTGTACCTTCATTGTATCAATGTCAGCATCCTGGTTGTGATACTGCACCACAGTTCTGCAAGATACTACCATTTGGAGAAACTGGGTAAAGAGTTCTGTGTTATTTCTTACAACTGCATGTGAATCTATAATGACCTCAAAATAGAGTTTAATTTTTAAAAACCAATCGTTTAGCATGACCTACGCTTCCTCTTCTGCTTAAACCTCCCTCCTCCCCAGTGCTTTCCCATTGTTCTTAAGATATAAAATCCTGGACGCTATAATCTCTGTCTGCCTCCCTGGATCACCAGGCTCCCTTCAGGCTTCTGTGCCCCGCCCGCGCCGACATTCGTTCTCTCAGTTCCCCGACTAATCCTACTCCTACCTGCAGGGGGCCTTTCGCACATGCTGCCCCCATCTGAACTGTGCTTTTCCTCTCTTCTATTTAACTCCTCGGAGGAAGCATAAATCCATAGGCCAACCTTCCCCAACTTCTCTAACAAATTCTTCTAAAATCTCTTCTCGCCCAATGTTTTCCTCTGTGGTATTGTACTTATATTCACCCCAGCACTTTTACATTTGTTTGCATAATTACGTGATTATGTGTTTTCTTTACAGGTAGGTAGTTCTGTACCTGTTAGTCTCACCGTCTGCAGAGCAACTGTCTCCACACTTCGAACGCTCAATTAACAAGTATTAATAGGATTGAATGAATGGTCACCCTTGCGCCGCCGCGTTACACTGGCGTCGCGCGTGGTACGCGTCACTTCCTCCCGGAAGACTCGGGAAACCACTCAGATTCCTGTCACTTCTGAGAAGCTTTCGGCGGTAGCCATGGCTCTGCCACCTTTCTTCGCCCCAGGTCGCCCGGGCCCGCCACCTCCGCAGCCGCTGCCTCCCGCTCCCTTCGGCTGTCCGCCACCGCCGCTGCCCTCCCCCGCTTTCCCACCGCCTCTTCCCCAGCGGCCCGGCCCCTTTCCGGGGGCCTCCGCCCCCTTCCTCCAGCCCCCGCTGGCTCTGCAGCCCCGGGCCCCTGGAGGAGAAGCCTCGCGCGGTGGCGGCGGCAGCAGCAGCGGCGCTTTCTACCCAGTGCCTCCACCGCCGCTGCCTCCGCCGCCTCCCCAGTGCCGGCCCTTCCCGGGGATCGATGCCGGCGAACGCCCACGGCCGCCGCCTCCGGGCCCTGGGCCGCCCTGGAGCCCGCGCTGGCCAGAGGGGCCGCCGCCCGACGTGCTTGGGGACGCGTCCTTGCAGCGCCTGCGCGACCGGCAGTGGCTAGAGGCGGTGTTCGGAACGCCGCGGCGGGCTGGCTGCCCAGTGCCCCCGCGCCCTCCCGTCGGGCCCAGCTTGGGCGAGGTGCGTGCGCGATTACGCGGGGCTCTGCGCCTGGTGCGGCGGCTGCGCGACCTGGGCCAAGCCCTGCGCGAGGCCGAGGCGGACGGCGCGGCCTGGGCACTGCTGCACGCCCAGGCGGCGCCGCTGCGGGCAGAACTGGCTGAACGCCTGCAGTCGCTGACCCAGGCCGCCTATGTGGGCGAGGCGCGGCGGAGGCTGGAGAGGGTCCGGCGCCGCCGGCTGCGGCTTCGCGAGAGGGCCCGAGAACGCGAGGCCGAGCGGGAGGCGGAGGCCGCGCGAGCTGCGGAGCGGGAGCAGGAGATCGACCGCTGGAGGGTCAAGTGCGTGCAAGAGGTGGAGGAGAAGAAGCGGGTAAGAGCCTCGGTTGCGTATGGGAGTAAGCGTAGTGGTGTTTGAAACGTGAAGGGTCAATGAGGCTGTGCGCAGCCGTTTCCCAGGGCGAAGCCATTTTCCTCATTTGTAAAATAAAAAGATAGCTTGCCTTTCTGACCTCACTTCCGTATTGATTACTTGTTAATGATGCTTTAGGTGCACTGCAAAGCCCTGTAAACAAAGCAGATTACACAGTGGCATTGCAGGGATGACAGAACTCCTGGGCCAATGTTCTGACATTCTGACACCAATATTGAAGACTAACAAGCCTTCGGGACCTGCGTGATTTGAAAAATACACAGTATAGAGACTTGGGGCCTTTCCTCAAGGATCATATACCTTAATTGGCTGATGGGCCAATAGTGATGATTTCCCCAGGATTCCTGTGTTTACAGGTTATAAACCACACATGCTGAGGTTCAAGTGCTGGTGTTTTCCAGCACTTAATATATATGGTATGCACTATGCTAACGTTGTTACATACATCAGCTCTTGAATCCTTGTAACGCCCCTGAGAGGTTGGTGGTATTGGGTTGGCTAAAAAGCTCGTTTAATTTTTTCCGTAAACTAAAGTATACATTTTTCATTTTCACTAATTAGTTTATTGATTTGGATATTTTGAGTATGTCGGCTATCTCCTGTGTGGTAGAACGTTGATTGTTCTCAATTAACTTCTCAATTTGATCACTATCAACTTCAAGTCGTCTACCCAACCTTGGAGCGAGAAATCTAGCGTGAAACTTTACAAACGACCTTTGACAAGTTAGATCAGTCACAGCAGCTTCTCCATACACTGCACAAATCTTTTTTTTTTTTTGCGTTTCAGTTGCATTTTTACCTTTCTTGAAATAATAAAGCATAACATCCCTGAAATGTTGCATATTTTCTTCTATCTTTAATATTAAAATGATTACACAAAAATTCACCAATTTGGTAAGTTTTTCTTAAATACACGCTGACATGGCAGCTGTCACAATACAGTCTAACAAAATTGTTTCAAATGAAGTTAAAGACAGCTAAGCACCACTAGAGCCATCATGTGGAAAAAAAACAAACGAACTTTTTGGACAACCAATGTTACCCCAATTTTACAGATTAGGAAATTAAGGCACAGAGAGGTTAACCAGCCAAAAATCACACAACTGGCCTCTGGCAGTTCCACTCCTGATTTGAGCCCTGGATGTGTGATTGCAGAGTCTCTTGACCTCAAACTCTAATCGGGCGCCAGGGTGAAACTGGAAATTGGTCAGATCGTTGTAAGACATTGTTATTACTTTTCAGCGCCTGTAGGTACTTCCCACCATCCTCCACTCTCCACTCCCAGCTAGTGTTTCCTCCTCCACCCGGTGTCTGCTAGAGAATGATGTGACTCCCCCTCTGAAGTGTATTGTTGGCCAGCTTTGTCTTCAAGCTCCAAAGAACATCAATGCTTTTAAGAACAATACTTGGAGGCAAGGCCTTAATCTAAGGGAGTTTTAATCAGTTCAGATATTTCATAAGGGCCCCTTATATACCAGGCTTAGTGCCAGCTGCTGGAGATAGAAATAAATAGGATCTAGTGCTTGTCCTTGAGGGGTTTAGAGCCCCATGGGGGACATGTCTGTATTGCATTCTGTGTTAAGATTTCAACTGCAGATGCTATGAGAGCCCAGAAAAGGTATATCACATCCTTTGGGGAAGGTATCAGGGTAGGCTTAGACAATAAAGTGACAACTGAACTGAGTCTCAAAGGAAATGTCAAAGCCAAGTGAGAGCAATTGGTGCAGCTCAGGCAGAGGGAGTAATACCTGGAGAGGAGGGAAACAGCATGGTATATCCAAAATGGTGGAATTATGGGCTCTGATTTGACCAATGGGAAAGAGCTTTAGGTAAAAGCATCCCCTGCCACCTATGGTGAGGGCATTGGAGACAGTCCCTTGAGCAGTGGCTTGAGGAACCAAAATTACTTAGTATACATGAGAATCAACTTAAGAAAAAGTAGGATAGGGTCTTCAGATGTTTGAAAGGCTGTCATGTCGAAGAGATCCTTGGCAGTGGAGTTTTTTAGGTCATCACTGAGCATTGTAGAGTGCTGGGCCTGTCCAACCCCATTCCTTACCTTCCCCGCTAGCCTCAGTGTTCGAGTCCACGTGTGTGCATTTTTAATGAGAGCCCCAACTTAACAAGGTAAATTGAATGCAGATGTTCCTTAGACCACACTTTAAGAAACTCTGAGGAAGAAACAAAGGCCACCACCCACGTGGAAGCTGCAGAGAGGATAACTTTTGACTGGACCAGGGTAGAGGGGTGTTTTGTGCACGGCCGAGGAACCTGGGATGTAGATCCCAAGGAGTCCTTAACCCCAGGAAGGTCTGATCCTCTCCCTGTCTCGCTGTTGGGTAGCTGTTCTCATGGGCTCTCTATCTCTTCCAGGAGCAGGAACTTAAAGCTGCTGCTGATGGTGTCTTATCTGAAGTGAGGAAGAAACAAGCAGACACCAAAAGAATGGTGGACATTCTTCGGGCCTTGGAGAAATTGAGGAAACTCAGGAAAGAGGCTGCGGCAAGGAAAGGTAACCATGGCTTTGCATGTCTACTTGCATTTCTTCCTTTGTTCCCCTGTTCCTTCCCTTTCTTTACCATAGTGTTTGCCCGCCCCCAAAGTGTTGAAGGAAAATGCTTGATACTTCATTACTTTCGCCCAGTAGCGTAAGAGCATGTCAGCAGTACCTCAGAACTTTTGAAGTAGGAAGCCTCAGAAGTTGTTTAGCTCTTGGTAGCCAAGACTCGGAAAGAGAGGCAGGTGCGGGAACCCACTGCACCACCTTCCCCTTGACTCATCATTCCCACCCCAGCCGTTCCTGGCCACACTTTTCCAAGGGAGGCTGACGTGGCTGGTCAGCTTTACCCATGTGCCAAGGTGAAAGCTATTCCATACTTACTTGATCCTTCAGAAGGTGTTGAAAACTTTGCATGCTCCTTTAGATACACTTCAAACCTGGAACGTGGATATTTGAAGAGGTGTGAATGGTTGGACTGGGCAGGGAGTGAGTGCCCTGCAGACTGCATGGGTGCCCCCCACCCATCCCCGTATGTCACTTTTGGACTCAGAAAACCTCAGTGGTCTCTCCTTGCCTCTAGAGTTCCCCAGTTGTGCTTTCCGTTTCCCTGTGTGGATCTTTGCTCTTGCTAGTCTATTTGGCTGGAGGGCCCCCAGCCCCATCGTTGCTATTTTAAGCTCTCTCTGTCTTTCAAAACCAAATTTAGATGCAAACGCCCACCATCCTTTTCTGCTCTGGCTGAGGTGACCTCCTGCTCCTTCTCACTTGAACCCGGTTTGGGCCACATGCTGCCTAATTTCGTAGGTGTAAGCCATTGACATTCACCAGGGATATTTGAGAATACACAAGTTAGCAAATACCATGCTATCAAATGAATTCCTCTGTGTGGTTTAAACTATAAGTGAAAACTGTGATTCAGACCCTTAATAAAGTTATGCTGGGTTGTGACCATTGTACGTTTAGCCAGGCTCATTCACTCGCTCAGGGATGAGCTGCTGCACGCCAGCCTGTAGGGTGGCTGATTCAGATTCAGGCCTCGGAATCAGATGATTCCATAGGACATTCGTGCGTCCTCTGCTGTGGACCATCTAGAGTTTGCATCTGCTGTGTCTGCCCATGTCTCCCTTACGGGAATGCAGAACCCGAGAGCTACAATCTAATGTTCCCCTACCCCATGTCCTCTGTGAGGTCAGGGCCAGTGCTATTTTGCCAAGTGAATTTACCAGCATAATTTCTCACTATTAGTCTCCCTCTATTTGGCCCAAAAGAAAGAGGAAATTCTAGGAGGAATTGTGATCTATAAAACTAAGCAGGCTCTGTGGCGCTGACTGAGTTGAATGTAAAATGATTTGGTAACTAGCAGCTGGTTGCATTGTGTACTTTAAAAGAAAACAAGAAGCTTTCCAACTTCTCTTTCCAAATAAGTGCTGAGAGAATGAGGCTGGATATGTAAGTAGGCCCACATCACAAAGTGTCTTATGGGCTGGGCTAGACTTCTCCCTGTGCTTAAAGCCAAGGGAAGCCACTGCAGGGTTTTAAGTGGGGCGTGAAATGATGACAAAGGTCAGTGCTGGCAGAGCAGAGAAAAGTGTGGGACATCTAGCAAGAGAGACCAATGAGGCTGGTTTAGTCTGGGCAGCGGTAGTGTGGGAGGGTGAAATACGGGCCAGATGGTGAGTTGGAGACAAGTATACAGATTTAAGAGCTAGGAATAGAGTGTGTCTGCATGTGTGTGTGTGTATACATATAAATAAGTAACTTAGGAAACTCAGCTGAAGGTGAAAAAAATGACTGCCAAGTTCTTAGCTTGATCTACTGAATGAATGATGGTACCATTCTAATTGACCAGGCAAACAGGAGGAGGAGGAGGCTTTGGGTTGACGAGTTCGGTTTGGGACCTCCTGAGTTCAAGGTGGCTATGGGACATCCTGGGTAAGGGTTCATCAGCATGTAAACAGACCGTAAGGAGGTTGTGCAGTATGAGATGAAAACCAAAAAGACAAAATCCAGGGGGGTGTTAAGATCAAGATGAATAAAGAGGAACCACAAAAGAGAACAAGAGAGGTAGGAGGAAAAGGTAGACCTGCTACCTCCTTCTGCAAAGTGGCAGATGCTTAGAGAGATTGTGCAGTCTTGGCTTGTTTATTTAAACTTCAGATTGCTCATCTGTAATAAGGGAATAATGACGGTACCTACCCATGGCTTGTTTTGGTGATTAGATTAGGAAACCTGAGTAAGGTGCTTAAAACAGTCCTGGCACATAGTAAATGCTATATAAGTGTTTCATCTTACTTTTATTATCAAGTAATAAAAAGTATGAGAAACATCCGTGGGATTAGTACCCAGCAGATCATTAGCAGCCTATGTCTGGACCTATGCCTGGGGGTGTTTCAGCGGAGTGGCAGGAGTAGAAGCCCGACTGGAGTGGATTAAAGAGGGACTAGGACAGAAGACAAGCAAACAGTGAGCTCAACTTATTAAAGTTTGCCTGTGAAGAAAAGAGAGTGCAAGGTCAGCATCTGGCAGTGTGTGTACATGTGCGGGGATGGGATGGGGAGGTGTCTTAGGATCATGGAACAATGTGCATGATTAAGTGCTAAGCCAAGGAGTGAAGAGAGGGAGAGAGGGAGAGAGGGGTCAAAGAGAAGCAGAGGAATAGTTTATGGCTCAAGATCTTGCAGGAGGTAGTGAGACTTGGATCCCAGGTGCAAGGATTGACTTCCCTGGGGAAGGACCCATCTTCCACTGGAATGAAGATGAAGGAGACAAGGGTGGGTAGTAATGCAGATGAGTGAAATCGGGGGCAGAAAGTTAAGAGATTTTCATACCTGGTGGCCTGTCTTCTCTGGGAAGTTGGTTAGGAGGTTTGCTCTTAGAGTCAGTAGAGGAGTTAGGGCTTTCAGAGAGCAGTGAACTAACTAACTGCTGTGAGGCATGAGAGAGAGCCAAGCAGAGACCCACGGGAGTATGGTTGCAGGGAGGTGCTGTGGTGACTGTACACTGGCACCAGGTCACATAATCAGATGGCTTCTTCCAGGAGAACTCTGCAGCTGGCATGTGAGCACAGCACTGCGCTGCTGGGGATTTGCTTTGTGAGTGACCACAAGTTTTGGTGAGGACAAAGGAAAATGGTTAGAGTCTGATACCGTAGGTGAGAGAAGAAGGTGAGAATACTGGAAGCATAGGAAATTGTCAGAGAGGAAAATAATCGGGTTTAAGATTGCAGAGATGGTAAGCTTTTTCTGATTATGCCAAGGTCCAAAGACTGGATGAGGCCCCAAGGTGTGGGAATAAAGGCTGTTGGTATCTAGGAGCTGCAGGACCTACAGGAGGAGTAAGTGATAGAGGTGGAGGAGATCTAGACCCTGTCAGCACATGGGGTCAAGAGAAAGACAGTGAGGAGTGCCATTTCCAAGCGAATGTGTCACGTTAACCAGGACTGATGCATGAAAGGTGGAGGGAGGTACCGGTGGGTGCACAGACCCAGCAGGCCGCAGCTCCCCCTGCGGTCTGGAGCACTCACGGGCTGACGGAGCGTCTGTATGTTTCCGATATACGGGCAGGTTTTAGTAGTTGCAACAGAGACTATATGGCCCACAAGCCTAAAATATTGACCATGTAGCTGTTTATAGAAAAAATTTGCTAATCCCTGTTCTAGGGAAAGAAACTAAAACCATGAAATTATTCCAGACAACATATTGGCAGCTTAAATTTCTCTGTGCATTAAGAATTTTATGTGTATTTTGTATTTGGAAAATAAGAGTCCAGCAACTTAGTAGAAGATGGAGTAGAGTTATAGTGTTTGCATCTCCAGTTGGGAATAAGTGAATAGAAAACTGTTCAAGCAAAGCAGTCATGAGAAGATGATCTGGAGAAATCTTAGCCTCAGAGGGAAAGTGAATATCAGCCAAAATTGAAAATTTAGTGCCAAAACCCTGTTGAAAATCATTTGTTAAATAAATAAATAAATATGCATACATACATATATATATATGTTACTTTCTTTGTGTCAAGTGTTAGATACTGAGTAAATGTGTAAGTTTTTAAAGAAACAATTTAGTACTAAGGTCTGAAGTAAGACTGAATTAAAATTTACTTACTGAAGTAAAATTCAGTAAGACTGAAACAATTGGTCACCCCATTCTCAGCAGCAGACTGCGAGGTCATCATGGTTGCTTAAGTGTATTTCTTCCTCAATATCCACATGTGCTCTCCAAGAACTTCAGACTCAGAGGGAGAATTGTTTATTAACAGTGGGAATAGTGAGCCCACTATCCAACTACATGATCAAAACCATTAGCTGCAGGATCATAAACAAAATCAAGAGTTAAGTGGTATGCTCTGGAGAGAGGACTTAAAGAGGAAGTCAGGGTAGGGTCAGATTAATTGGAGACTCAAAGTCAAATTGACCCTTGAAGATTGGTTAGAATTTACAAATTCATACTGTAAGTAGGACTTTGAGCCTGCTCCTTAGAAACAGATTTGTGGATAAGAAGTTGTAGCTAAAATGCTGTTTGGATCTTTTTGCCCAGGGGTCTGTCCTCCGGCCTCAGCAGATGAGACTTTTGAGCATCATCTTCAGCGACTGAGAAAACTCATTAAAAAACGCTCTGAACTATATGAAGCTGAAGAGAGAGCCCTCAGAGTTATGTTGGAAGGAGAACAAGAAGAAGAGAGGAAAAGAGAACTAGAAAAGAAACAGAGGAAAGAAAAAGAGAAAATTTTACAGCAAAAGCGTGAAATTGAGTCCAAGTTATTTGGGGATCCAGGTAAGTTCCTCTGTCACCAGCGGAGAAAAGGAAAAATACTAGATTGACTTTTTTCTCATGGACGACCTCAAACTAAGCTAAGAGGTGGTAGGCAACAAGGACACCTTCAGGATCTGAAATTCTAAGCTGTGTCCTGGAAATCATGGATAAAGATGAAACACATATGATCGTATTGTCATCAAAGATTCCGTCATCTTGCCTTAAATACACTCTATGAAAAGGAAGCCTGACGATGTGGTGTTGTGCCTTTTCCTTTTCAGATGAGTTCCCGCTCGCTCACCTCTTGCAGCCTTTCCGACAGTATTACCTCCAAGCTGAGCACTCCCTGCCGGCGCTCATCCAGATAAGGTCAGAGGGGCCCCTCCATGATGCCTGGGTCTGGTTTTTTCTAGTTTCTTTTGGGTTTATAGAAAGTTTCCAAGTTTCAGGGGTGCCACAAACATCTTGTTTAGTCTTATTTCATCCTTGAAAAGTATATAGATGTCCCAATTTTAACAGGTGAAGAAACAAACTCGGGCTGTGACTTGCCCTTTTATGTTCTCCCAGGATGTGCTGTTAGTGAACCCAAAGCGTTTTCCTTTTTCTAGTTCTCTTGCTGCTAAATAGACCCTCCCTGTATACTTGCCTGCGGAGATTGTTTAAGACCCATGCTGCTGACTTGTGAGTTCTTACAGTTCAAAGTCAAGACAGCTAGGAACAGGAGTCTCATCTTTATGTGCAGTTATTAATGAACTAGAGTTTGCAGCTCTCTGGGTCTCACTTTCCTCACCTATAAAATGAAAATGGTGGGCTAGAAGGTGGCCTTCAAATTTTGGCAGTAATACTCTTCCCAAATGAAGTCTTTGGACAGATCAGTTTACAGAATAGTTTGAATGAATGGGTTCTACAGGCAGCTTAAGGCTGCTATTGACTGTAAGCATTGTGTTGTTTTCAGACTCCTCAAGGCACCTACTTGGGGCTTAGGGGTCTTCGAAGCCTGGTTTGAAAATCACTGACCTAAGTGAGCTCTGGGGTTCCTTCCAAAGCTCCCACAATGCTCTTTTGCATACCAAGTTTATGTTCTGGGAAAAGTGTATGTATTTCTGGCCCATATACAGTTTTAGCTTTTAAATGCAAGCACATCCTTGTTACCCAAAGGAACTGTATTCTGTAAACCACAAACACCGAATCAGGAAATGCTGAACTGCTGCTCCTAAAGGGAACACGAGCTTAGGTTTCTATGAGCCCCTGGCTGCAGCATTTTCGTCAACTGATGAATACATAACATTGTTTTATGTGTCTTTTTAAAAAGATTTTGTTTATTTTTAGAGAGGGGGAAGGGGGGGGGGAAGAGAGGGAGAGAAATATCAATGTGTGAGAGAAACATCAGTCGGTTGCCTCTCACATGTCCCCAACCAGGGACCTGGCTTGCCCAAACCAGGCACGTGCCCTGATTGGGAATTGAACCAGGGACCTTTTGGTTCACAGGCTGGTACTCAGTCCACTGAGCGACACCAGCCAGAGCTGTGTATTTGTTTTGTTTTTAAAGACACCTCAATTTCATATATCTTGCTGATTCATTAACCTTGAACTCACGGCAAACAGCATAATTTATGCCTGAACGTAGCTCATCTAACATACATATGTTCTCCATAAGGCATATCACAGCCTTCTAAGTTAGCTAGTACTTCAGTACTATACTTGGGGGCCATTTTAAATAACAAAATCACTAATAAAAAGCACAAAAGTGCAAAAAATTATACTAAATAGACTGCAAAAGGAGACTTGTTTATAATATGAGAGCAAGAAGGCAGAGTGTCACCTTCTCTAGCCTCAGTTGGGAACATGCCTGTCGGTGACTCAGATTTTTCACTGCTCTGTGCATGTTGGTAAGTGACTGCAAAAGCACCACAAGTCATGATTTTGGGGTTACAAATAAGTTGTAGTGAATAGGCAGATTTATGGATATGGAATCTGCAAATAATGAGGCTTGACTGTATATTAATTATTTGGCTATCTATAAGATTGTAAGTTCTTTGGAGGTTTTCTCCTTTTTATATGCACATTTACAAATTACAGTCTTTTGCATAATTTCTAGTAATCTAGTTCTTTATTGGTCTAGTACACCAGTCATTTGTTGAAAAGGTAAGTCCTGAAATAGAATATTTAATTGCTGAACTTCTTGCTTGGACTAAAACAAGTAAATAGTTGTTCTGCAATTCTCTTATTAAGGCATGACTGGGATCAGTACCTGGTGCCATCTGATCATCCTAAAGGCAGCTCCGTTCCCCAAGGATGGGTCCTTCCCCCGCTCCCCAGCAACGACATCTGGGCAACCGCCATGAAGCTGCAGTAGTAAAGAGGCTCCAGGAGTGTGGTCCAGGCAACGCTCTTTCCAGCTCTAAATATTAGTGACGCTGCCATCTTCTTGTGCTATAGACTGAACAACAACCTGTCAACTCCGCGTGGCGTGGCCCTACCCAGAAGTTACATTTTCCTTCTGTGCTCTGTTCTGGCCAGTGGGGCTTCTGAATCAGGAGATTAATATGGTTCTTTAGGAAAGGACCTAGGTAAACTGGGGCTGTGACCACATGCCATGGTTCACTGAATTTGCCTCTGTTTTGAGGGGCTTGGCCCAGAGTGACTTGTTAGTTTACTGAACTTCCTTGTGTGGTGATGGGTGTGTACCCGCCATACACTCGGCACAGGTGTGCACTGGGTAGTTTAGCAGCCCTTCTCCTAGTACTGAGTGTGAAGGCAAGGTTGATGCAAAACCTCCTTATCCTCCCTATCCAAATAGCCCTCTAACTTCCAGGAAGAAAGGTCAAAATGTTTCTTTGGTTTTGTGGATCCCGTTTTTGGTGCAGCTTGAGAGTGTAGGCTGCAGACAGGGCTGGCAGAAAAGCTGGTGGCTTAGGTAGTTATATGGAGAGCTTGGATCACCTGAACAGGACCCAAATTTGGACAGTGTCTTAATGGGTGATGTTAGGATCCATGTTAGAAGGATCCTAATGAAAGGAACCGCTTTATAAGTTCCTAGATCTAGTTGTTCAGAATTCCCAAGGATAGAAATTTATTTCCCCATCGGAATAAGACCTTGACATCATGCACCCGGTGGGCGCTGGTATAGCTATGGAATTTTCTTGGGAACTCAAGCTCCAAAAATATCCATGTTTTCAATAGTTAAAGCTGGGGGAAAAGCAGATGAAAATAATGCGATTTATTTTTTTATATTCATTAATAAATGCTCTTGTGCTTCGAGTTGATCAATGATATAACATGTCAATTCTTTGTTTTACCTTTTGTCATTTATTGTTATTTATATTTACAAAAAGCTAAATAAATATAATTTTAATTTTTTAGTTTGAGCCTTTGCCCCCAATTTGTTGCCTTCCAAGTCACTACACACACTTTCACATTGATGAAACACAGTTTTCATTCTAAAATTCAAATTTATTAAATAGACATTTTGCCGCAGTAGCATCTCCAGCACCAAACTTTGTGGACTCAAACTCTGGATAGAGAGCAAAGGACACCATCAACTTTGAAAATGATTTCATGTAGTTGAAAGCTGTTGGGTCCAAGATACCATCACCGTATTCCCTTTCGCTTAATTTGCACTGCTAAATTTATGTAGTGTGTATTACATAGTGAATGGTATGAGGGCCAGCTCCCCTCCCAAGTGGGTGTCTGAGCTCATAAACCTGAAAATCTGATGTGATTAGCCTCACATAACCCCACAGGCCCGTGTACCCTTTCGTTATAACTCCCCACCATCTGTCCTCTGATGAGGTGCAGGAGAAATAGAAATAAAAGATGACTTGTATGAAGTTTGGTGTCCAAACAGCTTTGCCAGGGAGTGTGAAGCAGGGACTGGGGGAAACTCAGGCAGCACAACCCAAGGAGAAGGCATTTAATGCCAGGTGGAAAAAAACCATTCCCTCTTTCCCTCTGCAGCTTCTGCAAAGTTTTAATAAAGCGAGTGTTATCTTTCTCTGGGTTTTGTAAGTTTTTCTTGATTTGTTGCCTTGTGTAGTGGCATCAGCAGCAACTACTGGTACTTCATGGGATAAGAATGAAAGATTTGCCCTGGCTGGTGTGGCTCAGTGGATTGAGCAATGGCCTGGGAACCAAAGGGTCACCGGTTTGATTCCCAGGGCACATGCCTGGGTTGCAGGCCAGGTCCCTGGCAGGGGGACATATGAGAGGCAACTACACATTGATGTTTCCCTCCCCTTCTTCCCCCCTCCCCCTCTCTCTAAAAATAAATAAATAAATTTTAAAAATGTTTAAAAAAAAGGAAAGACTTATAGCAGTATCTTTAACAAGTTATACATCTGAGAATATAAACAGTGTCATTGTAATCTTATACCACAGTCTTTAAAAAAAATTGTGAAAAATTTCAAACATCAAAAGTAAAGAGAATATATATTTTTTTTCCATGTACCCGTCATCAAGCTTCAAATAAATTGTCAACTCATGGACAGTATTGCTTTGTCTGTACCCCTGCCACTCTGGATTATTTTGAAGCGAATCATAGACATCATATTACTTCCTAAGTTTTTCAATATAAAGCTCTAAATGATATTTTAAAATTTTAACCACAGTGCCCTTTCACACCTAACAAAATGAATAAACTCCTTAATGACACCCAAAGTCCAGTCAGTGAGTGTTCAGATTTTCTTATCTCATAAACGTGTTTTATACTTTGTTCAAATCAAGACCTAGATGCATGACTTCCAACCAAGATGGAGATGTAGGTAGGTATACTTTGCCTCCTCGCACAACCAAAAGAAGGACAATAACAAATTTAAAAACAGAAAAATAACTAGAACTACAAGAAAATAGAACTATGGAAGTCCAACGACCAGGGAGCTAAAGAAGAAACATCCAGACCAGTAGGAGGGGGCTGAGATGGGCAGCTGGGCGGAGAGGATGCGCAGCAAGGCAGTAGCTGGAGGACCAGGAGGGCGAGGCGGCAGTTGGCAGACGGGGCGGTCCCTCATTTGCCTGTGGACAAACTGGAGGAACAGCTGGAGAGCGAGACAGAGTGTGCAGCCCAGGGTTCCAGTGCGGGAAAAGAAACTCAAAACCTCTGGAGGTAAAAACTTGTGGGGGTTGTGGTGGCAGGAGAAATGCCCAGCGTCACAGGAGAATTCATTGGAGAAACCCACAGGGTCCCAGAATGTACACAAACCCACCCACCTGGGAATCAGCACTAGAAGGGCTGAATTTGCTTGTGGCTGAAGGGAGAGAGAGAGCCAAGCAAGTGGCATTGTTCCCTCTCAGACCCCTCCCCCGCAGACAGTGTCACAACACAGAGACCTGGGTTGCTCGGCCCAGGCGAGTGCCTAAGTCTCCACCCCTTCCAACGTAACAGGCGTGCTGAGGCAAAGAAATATGGCCCAAATGAAAGAACAGATCAAAACTCAAAAAATAGAACTAAGCAGTGAACAGATAGCCAACCTATCAGATGCACAGTTCAAAACACTGGTAATCTGGATGCTCGCTGAATTGGTTGAGTATGGTTGCAAAATGGAGGAAAAGCGAAGGCTATGCAAAGTGAAATAAAAATATACAGGAACCAACATTAAAGGGAAGGAAACCAGGACTCACATCAATGATTTGGAGCAGAAGGAAGAAATTCAACCAGAACAGAATGAAGAAACAGAAATTCAGAAAAACAAGGAGAGGCTTAGGAACCTATGGGACAACTTTAAACGTTCCAACATCCAAATCGTAGGGGTGCCAGGAGGAGAAGAGGAAGAGCAAGAAATTGAAAACTTATTTGAAAAAATAATGAAAGAGAACTTCCTCATTCTGGCAAAGGAAATAGACTTCCAGGAGATCCAGGAAGCTCAGAGAGTCCCAAAGAAGTTGGACCCAAGAAGGCACACACCAAAGCACATCATAATTAAGTTACCCAAGATTAAAGATAAGGAGAGAATCTTAAAAGCAGCAAGAGAAAAGGAGACAGTTACCTATGAAGGAGTGGCCATAAAACTATCAGCAGATTTTTCTAAAGGAACCTTGCAGGCTAGAAGGGGCTGGAAGGAAGCATTCAAAGTCATGGAAGACAAGAACCTGCACCCAAGATTACTCTATCCAGCAAAGCTACCATGTAGCATGGAAGGGCAGATAAAGTGTTGCCCAGATAAGGTAAAGTTAAAGGAGTTCATCATTACCAAGCCTTTATTATATGAAATGTTAAAGAGACTTATCTAAGAAAAAGATCAAAAACTATGAACAGTAAAAAAAAGGGGAGGGAGAGGGTAAAGAATGGGGGAAGAGGTACAGGGAATAAGCAGCGTAAATAGGTACAAAATACACAAGGGGATGTTAAGAATAGTGTAGGAAATAGAGAAGCCATAAAACTTATATGTAAGACCCATCGACGTGAACTAAGGGGGAGAGGAATGCTGGGGGGTGGGGCAGTGGAGGGTGGAGGGGAATAAAGGGGAGGAAAAAAATGGGACAACTGTCATAGCATAATCAATAAAACATATTTAAAAAAAAAAGACCTAGGTGCAATCTCTGCATTGTTGGTTGATATGTCTGTGAAGTTTCTGATTATCTACAGGTCCTGCTTTCTCCTGTGCTCTCTCGCACTCTTTCTCTCCCTTTTAATATATTACTTAAAAAATCAGTCATTTTTTCCTCTGATGTGTTTCCAGTCTGGATTTTTCTAATTGTGTCCTTGTGACAGCGTGTTCCTCTTTTCTGTATTTCTTATAATTTAGTGTTTAGAGCTACACTGTCTGATATGGTAGCCATGGGTAGCTCTTGGGCACCTGAAATTGAGAGTTTGAGTTGAAATTGACTTTGAATTGAGATGTACAATTACATATGTAGCTCACATTTCTATTGGACAGTGCTGATCTAAAGACTTGATCACATTTAGATTGGAATTTTCTGGTAAGACTCTCACAGACCTAGTGTGTACCCCAGGACGACTAATGTCTGGTTGTTCCTTTTTGTGATCTTAGCAGCCATTGATAATCAAGATCTAGATTTATTTACTTGAAAATCAGTGATAGTTTAATTCTACCATTCTTTATTAGCTGGAATACATCTAAAAAAAGAAACATGCCCTCATCAACTGTTTCTTTATTCTGGGGTACAGTTTGTATAGGAAAGGCAAGAGATAAATACATAATTTCCTTGATTTACTGTTTTCAGAATAATGGTTTCACATCTAAAAATGAATAGTGAATTTTGTGTTTAAGTATTAGTATGAACTCAGATCTAAACATACTTGTCTTTCAACCCATTTTATTTTCTTTATTGATTGTATCACCTTTAGCCAGTGGGAGCCTCTTTAACTCAGCTCCCGCATTCCTATTCAGTCCCATATGTATTCTCCATATTTATTTTCCACATTTCCTGTCCCAGGCCTGGAACCTGTCATTTCTCCTATAACCCCTGTTTCCTCTTCAGGGGAAAAGGTGTACATAGGCCACAGTCTGCAAAATAGGGGTGCCCATTATCACTGCTGATCATGGCTAGTTGGTTTCTTTTTTTGTTGTTAGAACTACAGTTCTGTTGAGGCTCCTGCTCTTTTCTGAATCATGTGTTTTTTACATCTATACATGAATGATCTATATATTAAACATAATGAAAATAGAGAAACTCACTCGAAGACTAATGAGAAATGTGTTGATTCATCATGTCTTATGTGCAAGAATATTGTTTATCTTATGTCCCAGGAGAGGAGACCCTGGACTTGTGAGAAACTTTAAAACATTTATTTTTAAGAAATTAAGTAAATATGGGAAGGATAGAAAATGAAATAGATTAATTATACATTAAATACTAAGAGTTTTCATCCCAAGTGGCTGAGTTTATGACGTCAAAGACTTTGCTATAAGCCAACCAACTTAATCACCTTAAAACCATTCATATTTCTATGTCCACGTGACTTCTGTGTAAGGATGGATCAAGAAGCTTAGCTGGGATTATACCATCTGTTAACAGCAATTCACTCACTTCTGTGAGTTTTATCCACAAGGAAGCCATCCTGGGAATTACACGGTCAGTACAAAATATGTCTTGTTCCATTCAAATATGTTTAATATATAATACACGGCAGGAATGTGAATGCTATGAAGTATTAGCAATGATGTATATCTTAGGGACTAGAGATTACATGAGGCATTTCCAATTTCATTTTTTTAAATACTTAAAACCAATAAGCTATTTCTGTATAATTAACTGTTTACTTTGGGGCAGTTCCTGGCCAGCCACATCTGGCTATCCATGAAGAATTTGTTTCCAAGGTA